AAGCCCGGGATACAGAATCAAAAACAAGAACCCCACACAAAGATGTGGGGAAAAATATTACGCGCTGCGCGTGGGAAACAAATATATACGAAACTTTACATAACCTGCCACTAATTTTTGAACATAGCGGCGACCACGGGTGGATCTATCAACTGGGCCAATAGTATTTTCTTGCAAGAGTGTCCACAAGAGTGTCATGGCAAGAGTTCCTTGCTGTCCCACAAGAATGTCTCGAAGCCTGCCAGTAATTCATGGACATACCCTGCCACTAATTTATGGACAGAACCTGCCACTAATTTATGGACATAACTTACCACCAATCTATGGACATAACCTGCCACTACTTTTTGGACACAAGGCCAACCCCGGATGGATCAGTCAACTGGAGCCGCAATGTCTTGCGAGAGTGTCCACAAGAGTGCCGTGGCAAGAGTGCCTGCCTGCATGTCAGGTATGCTCAATTTAGCGCTCATCTCCAGTAGTAGCGTCTTGTCAGAGTGTCCCAAAACTGTGTCATAGCATCATAGCAGAAGTGTTGCTATTTAATGGACATAATCTGCCCTAAATTTATGGACACAACCTGCCACTAATTTATGCACATAACCTGCCACGAATATGGACATTACCTGCCAGAAATTTACCGACGTAGCCTGCCAATTTATGAACATAACCTGCAACCAATCTATGGGCATCACGCCGAACCCGGGTGGATCTGTCAAGCGGGGCAGCCGTGTCTTGCAAGAGTGTCCACAAGAGTGTCGTGGCAAGAGTTTCTTGCTGTCCCGCAAGAGTGTCCCATAGCCTGCCACTAATTTATGGACATAACCTGCCACTATTCTATGGAAATTACCTGCCAATACTTTATGGACGCGACCTGCCATTAATTTATGGACATAACCGGCCAAGAATTTATGGACGTAACCTGCCACTAATTTATGGGCATAACCTGCCACTAATTTGTGGCCTTAACGCCGACCACGGATGTGTCAGTCAACTGGAGCAGCAGTGTCTCGCGAGAGTTGTCCACAAGAGTATCGTGGCAAGAGTGCCTGCCTAAAAGTGAGGTATGCTAAATTTAGTGTGCCTAAATGGAATTAATGGAGTTTAGGTATGCATGTTTAGGCTTGCCTAGAAGTGAGGTATGCTAAATTTAGTGTCCCTAAGTGCCATTTATAGAGTTTAGGGATGAAAAAATTGCGTCGCCTAAGATTTGCCACTCTTTGCACTCCAAGTGCTGTTCCTTCCACTGTCGCCGTCGTCACTTGAGCAATAAAACGAAAACAGTTTTTTCAACCTTTTCGTGAAGGATGTTTCTAGGGTGTGAGGGTCTGCTTATTCGTTCTTTCGCTCCCCTCATCATCCTAGCTCCCCCTTCTGTCGCTACACGCATTACAGTGGCAACGGCCAGATGAAGTGAGGATGCAGACAACCGTATTAGCTAACCAAGTGAAGCCACGAACCTGGATGCCAAGAACAAAAATCCTACCCTGCAGAAAAAGGATCCTAAATAAAAAATATATAAAAACAAATCTTGTAACCCTCCTAAAGGCTCCCGGCGGAGTGGATGAAGACGTCCCTTCTGACAGACAAGGGGGTGACACAATGGGGTAAGGGAAGCTATTAATAAATTAGTGGCAAGTTATGCCCATAAATTAGTGGCAGGTTATGCCCACAAATTAGTGGCAAGTTACGTCCATAAATTAATGGCAGGTTATGTCCGTACAATTAGTGGCAGGGTATGTCCAGAAATTAGTGGCAGCCTGTGGACAACCTTGTGGTGTGGACACTCTCGCAAGACACTGCTGCCCGAGTTGACTGATCCATCCGGGGTCGGCGTTATGTCTGTAGATTAGTGGTAGGTTATGCCCACAGATTAGTTGCTATGCCAATCAATTAGTGGCAGGTTATGTCGATAAAATCTTGGCAGGTTGTGTCCAGAAAGTAGTGGCAGGTTATGTCCAAAAATTACTGGAAGGTAATGTCCATAGATTAGTGGCAGGCTATGTCCGTAAATTAGTGGCAGGCTGTGTCCATAAATGAGCGGCGCTCCCGCTATGATTTTGTGACACTCTTCTGGGACACTTTTACACGACACTCGTACTGGAAATAACCACTACATTTTGCATACCTGACTCTTAGGCAAGCTTGAAAATGCAAACCTAATAAGTAATATTATATTAAATTAAACAAAATCTATGTGTTTTGACAAGGGACATTTATGTTCTGGGAGCAACATCGATACTCATTGTTTTAAGACAACAAAAGATCACAAAAATGACAACAATGACAGCACATGACAAACAAATAACAAACAAGGACAAAATTGACAACCCTGAGGCTCGAAGTTAAGGCCTCGAAGTTAAGGTGTGATTCCATTTTGGTGATAAAAATGGAAAATGGATGGACCATACGTGGTTCATGCAATCATAATTTCCATGCTAAACAGGTCAAATCCATGCCCAGTTTCTCTCATCAGTTCATACAGTTGACACAAATGACTCAGCTGCACACTGAGCTGGCCAACGTAATCACAACGTGTTAGCATCGTGAGCAGGTAAACGTTCAATCAACGTTTTACCATATTTTAGATTTTATCTTTTTGAACATATTTTGTCTTTTTTTTAATATTTTGTAAAAAAAATATGAAACCACATTTGTTTGCACAACGTTCTGGACAACAAACTAGTCTACCAAATTTCAGATTAGCCTACCTAAATTTCAGAAATGCCTATGTCATTTTCAAATCACCTAGGCATTTCTGAGATCAGGTAGGCATTTCTGAAAGTCATGAACGGGCAAATCCCTACAAACTAATACCTTACGATCTGGGATGCGTTCTTAAGTTAGTGACCTTGAGATCCGCAAGCAAAGTGCCGATATTAGGATCCAAGGGTTCCGAATCAAAACAAATTGACGTGACTAACGAATGAATCGAGAAAAGACAATGAAAGTCCAAGGGTTCGGCTGGCGAAATGCTTCAAGCAAATCGGATGAAACTAACTAGGCGAATGCAAATTGAGAGGAAACCTTCGAATTAAATCACTTCCAAACTGACAAGGAGTCCTGGCCAACCCGAAAACGTGTGGAGGCGCAACTGCAGCCTAACCACAAATCAAGAAACTGGAAAGTTACTCTACCTGCCGCGAATGAAAATGATGGACGCTGCTGAAACTGATCACTGGCCCAACCACTCTTCGACAAATTGCAAATGATCTCCGATGTTCCAAGCTGCACGACCTGGCCAGTGCTCCCTTCGCTGAGTCTTGATGTTCAAAGGAATGCCACCAACCCTTTTGATCTCAGAACAAACTTGCAAATTGTCGTCATGCAACACTGATCGTGCGAGGTCAACAGGCAAACGATCCCGAGTGGACCTGAGGAGGAACTCCAGATTTCTCTCGCTCTCAATATGGGACAAAATAATCGCCTTGAACTTGTCAAATTGTCCACAACTGAGAGCTGTCTGATGATAAACGTCAAGAACCGACTGAGGTAACCCCGCTGTATCCAAATCAGCCCGAAACGCCTTGAATCTGGATGCACGATAAGTACCGGTGACCTGATGCCAATCAAATGCCACAACTTTGCCGCCTGACACCACCGGAATCGAAGAAAGCTGCTGCTCCACCAAGTTGTTGTGATCGTCAAACTAACAGCACGTACTTCACGCCCTGAAGATACGACGTATCAATACACCTGGGATATGCAGATCCCTTCGAAGATGAGCTCCCTTCAGCAGACTTCGACTTCGCAGAGCCCTTTGAAGAAGAACCTTTTTCCGGAAATTTCGGCCGTGCAGAGCCTTTCGAAAATGATTTCGCAGCCGGTTCAACAAAAACTGAACCCTTAGAGGATGACGCCGCAGTGGACTTCGGAGTTGCTGACCCCTTCGAAGAAGATGCTGCTTCACCCTTCGGAGCTGCTCTGAATAGAGATTCTGACCTGAGATGCCTTTGCAGGAGGACCCGACGAAGCTGCACGAGATGGCCTGGATGAGGATGAAGATGACTTTGCAACACCCTTAGGTCTTGGGACCAAGCGAGTGACTGAGAAAGAGGCCTTGATGAGTAAATCAAAGGATCCTGCGTATACTCAATTTGATCAAGCTCATCGTCACTGCTCTCCGGCTCCCAAGGTGCAGGCGAATACAGGGGACACTGCTGCCCACCAGAATGAGCAACAGGAATGTTGTCCCACTGCACCCCATCCAAGCCAACCGCTTGCGACGCACAGAGCCTCCACCCCTGATACCACGACGCGGTCGGGTGCGAGACCGGTCACTCATGGGCGCGGGGTTTTAAAGGGACCCCAAACCCTAATGAAAAGATTTCCCCAAAAAAGTCAACAATCAAAGCCAATACGGCTGATAACCACTTGAATCATCTAAAACCAGCTTGATTAACAACAAGGGGGTTACTAAAACAACCACACAACCTCGAACCAACAGGGGCAGCAGCTGCGGCCTGTTTTCATCTTGAGCCAAACAAGTAATAACAACCTGTTCAGAAGGGGTCTTTACAGTGAACAATATGGGTATGATTTACACCATATTTTTCAAGTTTATGATTATTATTATCATTAGTATTGTTATTATTATTCTATAGTCTATAGTCTAAATTCGTCTTTTCTCCTTCTTAATCTTCTTATCTACAGTAAAGAAGATGAAAGACGCGGGGAATCTTCCAAAGAATTCGGCCAAAGCATTCCATATCCTCAGGCAGGAGCTGGAAGCCCGTTGTTTCCGAAGCTTTACCACGACCTATTGCAGCATGCTTCCGCAGTTGTCGCGGAAGGCAGATACATACAACCGCGAGGAAGAAAGTGAGAAAAAGATAGAAAACGTGTTTAACTCAACCCTGCCTGATCAGTCTTCACACTCTTGCGCGAAGCGCCCGCATCAATTGGATTGCAGAGGTTTGGTATTTTGTACCTTTCCAATGGCCAACTGGCAATCTAGCCAAGACAGTGAAGCCACGGCATTATATGATCGGATTGAGTTCAAGCAGCGATTTCAAGCGCACCAGTGCTTTTTCCCATCTTTCTGGATGGTGAGGAGGAAGCCAATTTCCCTTTCCGGTAGTTGGGCTACAGCATCTTGCAGAGACTTCTCACAACTGAACAGGACTGCGATGGACTGCGGCCTGAACTCCACCTGCACATCCTGCTCCGGAAGGCGCCCAACCTAGACATCCAAGACCCCAAGACTTCTCTCGTTCTTCACATGATTGGCATGAAATGAACTGCTTCACATGATGGCTATGAAATAAACTTGAAATGATTTCAAAAAATTACCTGTTGATGAGATCAATATTTTTTCTTCGCGCGATGCCGTTTTTATTTGGGATGTGCATTGTCCCGGATTCAGCCAACGCAGAAGAGTGCTCTTGGCTTCTACATCAGAGTTCCGAGGACTAGACCACGCTCCTGCTGATCAAGCGACTTGAAGAGCTTCTCGAACGTGACCTTCTTTTCGTCCACTTGGAGTCCCTCAAACGTCTTCACCCATGCTTCTGGAAAGGTGACTCCATGGTAGTAGTTCGCATCCAAGTCCTTCAAAACCTCCTGACCACCTTTTATTCTGTTCGTGATGGCCGGATTGTTGATGAGATCGATGAGGTGCCGCAAGAACTCCACTCGCTCGGTCTGACCTGCTGAGTTCCACAGGTGCACCAAGGTCTGCATCCTCTGCGGTGCAGTCATCTTTGTTTGATAAAAGGTCAGCCAGTCACCATCGGGCAGCTTGAGGCTAGGAGCATCATCCAGCGCTCGGCAGTGTTCCTCTGGCAACTTCATGGGTTCTGGCGGCTCTGTCGGCTGAGCAGCTGGCTTGGCCAGCTGTGGCGCCAGCTGTGGCTCGTCATCTGAGTCCTCTATCTTGTCAAATTTGGAATAGTCGATGCCCGGCATCTGTTGCACCTGGACACGAGAGCTGCGCCTAGTCCCTAAGTCTACCGATACTGCGGAAGAACATATGCATTTGCTCGAGCCCAAAAGTTGATCATGCGTCTCCATGATGGTCTCCATATGCAAACCAAGATGCTACAATATGCAGCTCCAAACTCTTATCAAGGTTTGCATTCCAGCAGGTCAAACTGATCAAACTGTCTGCAAATTAGGAAATCCTCTGAGGACCCTGCCCCGTCAAAAGGCACGTAGATGCTCACCCCAGTGCTACTCTGATCCTCGGCTCTTAAGGCTGCAGTTTGTACAGGTCACCCAGACACATTTGTCCGGAAAGGACCCATGAATTTTGGATTTTCCTTTCTAAAAATTCAGCAAGTGCTTAATAGATTTAACATTATTTAACATGATTTAATATGATTTAATATGATTTAAGCAGTCCAAGGCCGCTGCCCAAGAAAACTTGCAGATCTTCCGTGATACCTCAGGTCTGGAAAGTTCAGCGCACTCAGGTTTGAGGCCACAATGTCAAAAGGTTGTGCGGATTTGAAGATTCACGCCCGGTCAAATCAGCATGATCTTTCAATGGCCAGAGGCAAACAAGTGGTCAGGAATCGCCGGATACAGCAAATCCATCACGCAGCTCAGGCTGATTATGGCCGAAGCATATACGGAGCCAAGGTTGGACAAATAGTGAAACATGTTCAAACAGGCAATCCATCTCTGAACAGAAGAAAATTGGGTGAAAAAACATAAACCGCTAGGAACGAGTTTCACGGATGAATCCAGAACCCAAATGCACTGCAGAGCGCTTCCAGTAAAAAATAGTGGTTCTGAAACAGCTGGGTGCTGCAGCATCGAGGTGTCGATCTAAGTCACCAAAGTCGGCCTAGGCACTGTCATATCCTGTCATATCTTGTCAGCCTCCCATTTCATCCAGCTCTATACGTGCTGAGAATTGCACCAACGGCCTTTGGTCCTCTGGTACAATCTCAGTGAGGGCAGCGCGTTCTTTTTCTCTTTCTCTGTGTATGCACAGCAGAAATATACATATACAGATATCCCAATATAGCATTTGAATATGCATGCACATATGTTGGTACGTAGGTGTGTAGGCATGGAGGTATGCAGGTATGTGGGCGTGCGGGTAATGTAATGTAATCTAATCTATATAATCTATTGCGATGTGATGTGATGTGACGTCACGTGATGTGATGTGATGTGATGTTATGCATGCATGCATGTGATTATAAATACATGTATGTATGTATGTATGTATGTATGTATGTATGTATGTATGTAGGTATGTGCGAATGAATAAATGAATGTTTTTATGTATGTTTTTATGCGTGTATGTATGTAATGTAATGTAATGTAATGCAACGCAATGCAATGAAATGCAATGAAATGTAATGCAGTGTAATGTAATGTAATGTAATGCATGTATGTGTATGTGTATACGTATGTGTATGTGTATGTATGTAAGTATGTAAGTATGTAAGTATGTAAGTATGGAAGTATGTAAGTATGTAAGTATGTATGTATGTATGCATGCATGCATGCATGTATGTACTTACGTACATATGTATGCATGTATGTATGCATGCATGCATGTATGTATGCATGTATGCATGTGTGTACATACGCATGTATGTATGCATTATTTAAATTAGCATGTATGTGTGAATGTGTGTGTTGTTTAGGTATGCATGAAAGTGTGAATGTATGTATGTATGTCTGTCTGTCTGTCTGTCTGTCTGTCCGTCCGTCCGTCCGTCTGTCTGTCTGTCTGTATGCCTGTATGCCTGTATGTCTGTATGTCTGTGTGTCTGTGTGCCTGTATGCCTGTATGCCTGTATGTCTCTGTCTGCCTGTCTGAATGAATGAATAAATGTCTTGAGTCTTTACGAATGTCTTTATGAAAGTTTTTATGAATGTATGTATGCATGTATGTATGAGTTGTTTACCTAAGCATGTATGTGTGGATGTATGTATTTTTTAGGTATGCAGTATGCATGTATGTCTGAATGTATGTATGTACTGTAGATATGTGTGTAACACACGGTGTGTATGTATGTATGTATGTATGTATGTATGTATGTATGTATGTATGTATGTATGTGTGTATGTATGTATGTATGTATGTATGTATGTATGTGTATGTATGTATGTATGTATGTATGTATGTATGTATGTATGTATGTATGTATGTATGTATGTATGTGTATGTTGTGCATGTTATATAAGTTCTTGGTATGTAATGCTATGTCATGGAATGTCATGGTATGCTATGCTATGCTATGCGATGCTATGCTATGCTATGTATGTATCTATGTATCTTAGTATCTATGTATGTATGCATGTATGTATGCGTGTAACCAAGTAAGTACGTATACGGACATACGTATGTATGTTTGTATGTACATTGTCACATGTCTGTGCGCATGCCTGCATTCAGGGAGGCCGGTAGGTAGGTGCAGGTGTAGGTGTAGGTGTAGGTATTTAGGCAAAAGGTAGGTATTGAGACGGGCAAGTAGGTAGCTAGTTAGTTTGGTTGGTATTTAGGTAGATATTTAAATGGGCAGGTAGGTGGGTAGGTATGCATGTGCAATTGTATGCATCTTCTGCACCTATTGTCTATGGACTGTGGGCAAACTTTCTCGCAAAGAATTTTTTGGCTGCAGCTACGTCCCGGAAGCCAAGGCCAAGGCTGCAGGGTCAAGTCCTTCTTCAACAACCAAAGCCTGCTTGGAGAAAAGCGGAAGCATTTGAGAAACTACTGCTATATATATATATATAGCTGCTATCAAATCCAGCTGCTGGGATGACCTTTTCTACGTTCACCTTGTCCCAAGCTTGGTAGAAGGAGTTGACGTCCTGGCCGAGCTCTGTGTTTTAGGCAGGCCATGCACAGCTTCGGCCCACAGTAGCAATTTAGAATCATCCCTCTGTGGATAGCCTTGCCATCCCGTCGAAGCTCTGGATCAATTGGTGGAGCTCCTGAACTCGACGAAGCCTTGGCAACGGCTACGGAAGTTGATTTCCTTTCCCACCACCGCGTTTCTAAAGATTAAAGTCAGATCCGAACTGCAGAGGATCCGTTGGTGCGACCCTTCTTGTGGGGCCGGTCCTAGGCTCCACACTGAGTTGGGTAGTATAGTGGTGAGGCAGGGAAAGCCAACAAACGGATTGCAAGGAGAATTTAAGGTCACCGCGTCCGTGGGGCTGCTCCACACCAAGTGGGAAGTCCAACCTGGACATGCGATGCACAAACTTTGAATTTTGCACCCCAAGGCTTTGATCCCATCCTCACAACTTGTGACAGCTTGACCTCACATTTACGTGCATACACACCGACATATGTTTTTGCATATATAAATATATATATATATTTATATTTATATATATACAGACAAAAGCGTCTGTGTTCAAGTGTGTGTGTGTGTGTGTGCGCGTGTAATTCACCTAGGCTCCTGGCCAAAACCTTTAAACAAAGCCTCATCGTCCTTGCCGGCTGAAGTGGCCTTGGGCTGAAGCCGTCACCGGCTTTCTTAGATTGCTGCTTGCGGCCGGGAACATCACCATGTTACCCTGTCACTTCTGGCACTTCTACAAGCAATGCTCTCAGCGATCAAGCCCGAAGGCCACGCAAACCTCTTTCCTTGCAGGCCTGAAGGATTTACAAAGAAAGACGAAAATGTATGGAGGCATTTAAACCACGTCAAAGATTCCATGGTAAGTCCCATTGACGGGTCTGAAGACATCATTTAAAGAGACATGTCCGACAATCATCCACCATATCTAACAGTAGACACCCATTGGTTGTTTCATGTCGGAAATGCAAAGGCTGAAGGCTGGAGATGTCTGCTTATGTCTTGCGGCACCTGTTGGCAGCGATCGATAAGTCGCTTCTTGGTATCTTTCACCAGCACCTCTTCTCCTGGCCTTTGGTTGCATCAATCGCTGAGACGGGCGCAAAATGAATTCAAGAAGAGCATGGAATGATAAAGGAATGAAGGTGGGTTCCACACACAGCGCAGTTCCCATTCCAGCTTAGGCGGAAGCGTCTGCAAGAAAGAGGTGAGATGAGTCAAAGAAAACAAAGGGAAGGGATGGCTCATTTTATCTTCCTTTTCCCTTGTGCCCTGGAAGCAAGTGGTGGCAATCCAGTATTAGTATGTCTCTGCAAACCTTGTGTGACCCACCAGAAGTCTGCATGTCTAAGTTTTAAGCGTGACCGAGATCTGCAGCAGGTGGCCGAACACCTATGCATCCAGAAGCCGAAGCCGACAAACGAAGGGTGAATGAACCCCAATGCGCTAGACTAATCGCAAGGGTGCGGCCATGGCAGATCTCTGTCAAATTTGCAGCTTTTTCGAAACGCTGAGAGTTGCACCCCATCGGAGCCGCACAATGCCACACCACAAATCTGCTCACCTTCATGCAAATGCCACTGTCCACCATGTTTGTGTTTGCTTTGCCCACTACGACTGCTCAATTCAATCATGACTCGCCTAACCTGCCTCCTGCTGCCCAGCAAATACCCTTGCCAGCCGCTTCCAAATGTGCCTGAAGGAAGCGGGACGAAGCAGGAAGCGAGCAGACAAGAGCATGCATGATAATACAATGGAAATCCACCCAAATGCAAAATAGTGCCGGGAGATCAGACTGCTGAGTGGGCTAACCTAACCCCAACATCCTGTCCGGTACCTACCTGCAGGTCAGCTGAAGAGTCGAAGAGGGACCCTGAGGCACCAGAGCACACCTGCGAAGCCTGCGCAATAGCTTTTGAATCAAGCTGCAAGTGGCGAGCTAAAAGGCACCCTGCCACCCTCCCTGAAACAGCCATAGATCATAGAAAGTCCCCCCAAATCCCTCCAAATACCATCGGTCAAATGCATTAATCGGTTAAAACTAGACGACGGATGGCCCGAAAACACGGAGGAACATAAGTACCCAGTTGACTGGTAGATTTTTATGATGAATGTGTAAGAAGGAGATGATCAGAACGATAAACCGACATCCCACGCCGCAGAATCACAGCATCACTATACCTACCTACCTACCTACCTACCTACCTACCTACCTACACACACACACACACCTATACACGGGAACACATGTATACACGGGAACACATGTATACACTTGCATAATCTTGCATACATACACATATGAACACGTACACAAACCTGGGTTCACATTTCGCTGTTATTTTACAAAATTATACACACCGGTCACACACACAGATAAAGACACGCACACACACACACACGCAGACGCATACACATACACATACACATACACATACACACCGGTTGCTTTTTACACATATTTCAAACAAACGGTGGCCTACACACTTGTTCAGAACTTTCATTGCGAATTTTGTTGTGGAGCGCATCTTACTTGCAAAAACAATTCCTTAAACCTGACAGGAGTAGGTCACTGAAAGGACCCGAAAAACAGTGGGAAGTTACCATCGCCATAGCCAGTGCAAATTAGAGTGAAATGGAAGCTGACCCTTCCCTTTCAACAAGGCCATATCGCTCCCAACTTGACAGATTGCGAAAACCATACAGGTGCAAAGTGACATCAAATTGCAGTCGAAATGTTCAAATTTGGTTATCAACACATCGTAAAGGATGTGTGCCAACTGGCTGATCTGCAAGGGTACCAATGGTATTTCCCATGGTCGAGGTGTCACCTGCTGCATCATCATCTGGGTTGTCAGGGTTGTTGGTAGTTCCCAGTTCCTGATGCGGCTCGGTCTGATGATATTCATAAGGCACCTCTTGGACCCCGAAATGGCGGCGCGAATAGTTGGCAAATCTGGAGGCTTCCCTCCATCCGTAGATGGAGTGGCCCCACTTGTCTTTCACATGACCCACGATTCCATAGAAGAAGTGCTCCAGGTTCCATCATCCAGTTCGATCAATTTGAACAACTGGGTATGCACCACCCGTTGGCGCAGTTGAGAGTCCGCATGGATGGGTTTTGTGGATGGGTTGTGTCCACGGGTTGTCACCGATAGGCATTGGAGTTGGCTGCACTGGGGTAGAGTATCCATAACCAGGGTTTGTCGGACCAGTGGTCGCTATGGAAGGTCCTGGAAGAGGAGCTGCTAGGGCGGATGAGGAAGCGCCTGGAGAAGGTCGCTGATGCGAAGTTGCGTAGGGGTCGTCAAGGAATCCATTCGGAGGAAGCGCGGGGAAGCCAGGTCGGCCGCAGATGAGTCACGCTTTGTCACATTGAGAACTCAAAATTACAGAGACAATTACAGTGGCACAATGAAAAGGAATGCAAAAGGAGCAAAAGTCTGAAACATGGCACATAAGTGACGGACAAGTCATCGTACCAGCGCAGCAGCAGCAAGACAGGTCTGTTTTTCCCAGAAGCGATCACGGAAAGTAATTTGGTGGCAAGGCCTTGTGACATGACATACGCATGATGTACGGCTGGTTCGGGCTGGTGAAAGTTGTTGGAGAACTCAAGATTCCAACATCTTGTGCCCGGGTCCAATTTCGGTGATTTTCTTGTAGGAGGCGACTGACTGTGAGATAGCTGCGTAGAGCAAAGACGTCTCCTGTAGCATCGGTCCATCGAAGATCAAGATAATCAGGGTCAATGTTGACGCCCCATGTGTGAAAGATGTATTGACTAATGCCAGAGAGTAATGCTCCGGCAGTGGTCGCTTGGAGATGGACAGGGCTGAGAAGTCGAGTAGGTGAACATGGCCAGCTCTTCGGAATCCTGGAAATCGGGTAGGATTCGTGTGACTGTCATAGCATCCGAAACTTGTTCTTCCATGACTTGACGAACTTGTTGGAGATCTACCAGGATGAGTGCCCAACGGATATGACGAAGAGCCGGTGTGCTGTTCCACACCAAATTCCGGCTCGGTTCATGGGGATGGTCTGGGTTCGGTCCGGCCCGGCCCCATCTATTGTCTGCAATCGGACGTAGGGCAGGGCCATCATCACGAGGAGCATGACTACGAGAACGAGAACGAGAGCGAGACATGGTGAAGGAATGGTTGTAGCTAGTTGAGCCGTGTATTGATGAGGGGAGAGATAACCAGAATGAGTCACACATCAGCCATCAACTAGAAAAAAAACAAAACAAGTTGCCCACAAAAAGGCTAGAAAAATTGTTTTTTATCCAGCGAAGAGGAACAAAATCACGTTCAGACACTTTATTTAGTCTTCATTCTCGGGTTCAGTGCGAGAATTCAAATCAGGTCGAGTATTCTTCAACCAAATCCAACGGGCTATACGAGAGTCAGGAGTCCGTTTTAGACGGAGGCCGATCGTCTTCTATGAAACTAGCAGCCAAAACAGTGGAACAAAACGCGTGCAAATGCTGCCTTTTGCTGCGTGTCATGTCAGCTTGAACCACCATGTTGGGGGGAAGCGGTTCCATGCGGTGTCATGATGTGACCAACTGGATGGATGAATCGTCAGGCTCATTCATGCTTCTGTTTTCACATTCCTTTTCTTTTTCTGGCGTGAAATCCATCCAGCCGCCATTCATGACACCTTCCAATGTTCCGGCCTTCATAGCCTTTGTAAGGCAATCGGCCGCCATCTTCTCTGTGCAAATCCAGTGGAGTCGCGTCGTTCCATCCACTGGCAGTCGATCCGTGATCAATGGATCTCCAGTCTCCTCGCTGTCGTCGCCAAATCTGTTGGCGTATGCCAGTGAGGTCAATGGCGAGGCGTTTGTCGCTCACAGAATGCAGGCCGCTCTGGTTGACATACTCCTCCAACGAACGGCAGTCCGTGTAGAGCTGTGCTGGGCGTCGGCGATGGAAAACTGCCGGGTGTCTGGCCAGGATCAATTCCAAATCGTTGTCGAAGCTGCTCCTCCGTCAGGTCGGTGGATCCAAATAGATCTCTGTCCATCTCATCCTCTGGGATCGGCTGCATGCGGGCTTCTGGAAGTGCTGGCAAGCCCAATTGAGCCTTGCGCTTCCACCGCATGAGGTTGTCCATGTCATTCTGGGTGAACAGCGGATGCCCAGGGATGAATTCACTCCATCGTTCTGCATTGGCGTCTTGCCATTCTTGATCCGTGGGGTCATTCACCATCTCCAGGTAGAGGTCGAGGTAGCGAAGGCGTTCTGGAGTCGGACCCCAAATCTCAGGCTCAGGTGCGGCTCCAGCTTGAACAAGAGCTGCATGTAGGGACTCGAGGGAGGTGAGCAGAGTTGGCCACCATACTGCTGGCTCGCTGCGCCTGATTGGCTTGGGCCTGGGCAATCATCTCGTCCAAGAGCTCGTCAGCGGTCTTGCCATGGGCGTCCAGGACCATGTAGCCGTGGAGGTCGACGTTCGGCGACTCCTGGTACTCATTGATGGCAAAGTAGACCGTCCTCTGCTTTTCAGATGGCTTGCTCTTGGATGATTTTCCACCTTTGGTTGATGCCGTACTCGTAGTCGATGAAGATCCCTTGCCCTGGCCCTTCTTGGAGCCCTTGGGACAAACTGCATCGTCGCTCCAGTGTCCAACTTGGCCACAGCGCCTGCATGACGACTTGGCCTTCAGCGCCTGAATCCTCTGCTTCTTTTCCTCCAGGCTCAAGCTGCCGTGAACCTGAAAATGGCGTCCTTGTCCATGTTGTCCCCAGAAGCCATAGTGTCCGGTCTCCTGGGCTTTCATCCTTGCATAGTAGACCTCTGATTCGGCCTGCAAGATCTCCGCCGCATGCTCCGCAGGCTCGATGTCATTCTCATCCAAGCCCTCATCCACCATAGGAAGGCTGCAAGGACCGGGTCATATTCATCCTCATAGATCTCGGCAGAGTCCCTGTGGTACGCAGTCGCGTCGTCAATCACATCCTCATACCCACCAAGGGACTGCGAATCCGACTCCCATCGATCCTGCATGTCCGGCTCGTCATTGGCGTAGTAGGATTTCCATCCTTTGCTTTTTTCTCGGTATCCACCTTTTCCATGTCCTTTGAACGCTGATGGCTTGAAGCTCTTGCCACCGCTGAATCCACCTCCTTTGGGCTCGCGTTCATGCAGCTTGCTGTGCTGCGCAACCAACTCCTCGCAGACAAGGTCCCAGGTCATCTCTCCCTTGATTGCCGTCCTCACCAAGAGCTTGTGGTCCTCGCTGATGGATGCGTTCATCAGGAGCTGCTCTGCGAGGATACCTTCTGGGAGTTTGAGATCGGGATCAAGGTCGGTCATCATGCCATACCATGCCCGTCGGCGTAGAACATAGCTGGCAACCGATTCACCACGTTGCCCTGCTGAGGATTCCTCCTTGTTGGGCTCCAGCTTGGTATAGTTCTCGAGCTTCCTGCTTGCTGCGTGGAGCCAGGGCCTTGTTGAGGGACTTCGGCCCTTGTCATTCGCCAGCTCATCCACAGGGAGCGTTCTGGCCACCTGCAACGCCGGTCCACGAAGTCCGTCCACCAATCGCAGACCTAAGGGGCCTAACTTCTTCACCTCGTCCTCTCCCATGGATTTCTCTCGAGCTTGGCCATCCGTACGCGAAAGGCGTACTCGGACAGTCTGGCTGTGCCTTCATCGAAGCGCGGCACGCCAGCCTTGCCCTCAGTCGACTGAAGTTGCGCCACTTCAGGCTTCCAGCACCGCCATTGCTTCGGGTGCCGGCGGGGTGTATGAAGGTGTAGCTGCAACCAACCAAAACCAAAATTCGAGGGCTATACCCAAAGGCAATTCCCCGGAGTCAATGCTCCGCTGCCAGTATGAAACTAGCAGCCAAAACAGTGGAACAAAATGCGTGCAAATGCTGCCTTTTGCCGTGCTGCGTGTCATGTCAGTTTGAGCCACCATGTTGGGGGGAAGCGGTTCCATGCGGTGTCATGATGTGACCAACTGGATGGATGAATCGTCAGGCTCATTCATGCTTCTGTTTTCACATCTTCCATGATGGGCGGGATATAGAGTCCCTCTTGTAGCTGATCAGCTCGTTGTCAGCGATGTCAGGCCATGGTCGTAATCCAGGGACTGCGACATGAATTCGTTGCTTCTTCTTGGGTCGAGGTTCTGGGTTCGGTGGGAGGTTCTCTGAGCCCAGATCAATTGGTGCACTGATTGTAGTAGAACGGAGTGGTAAGTGCACTGGATTGGATGGTTCCCCTCGGCTGGATCTCGAACGGACAGCATTAGTGGGATGACTACTGTCTGGGGCCAAGATGAGGCTGGACGAAAATGAAGCGCGGGGTTCACAATCATGTGTGATGGAAGACCCCCATGTGACACAAGAGTTGGATGTGCCGGTGACGATGGCAAAGGGACAAAAGCATGAAGATTGCGGCCAGAATGGGTATTGTGTGTCACTGGGAAAGGATAAGGTTGAGACCTGCGATGCGTGTCGGCATCGTCCCAGTCCACTGTCGGTTCAAAAAAATGGCAAGAACCCTGCAATGTAGTTCAAGTGCATGATTGCTCTGGCCAAGCGGTAATGAATTTCTCTACAATTGGACGGGCAGAGCTCCGTTGGGAGGAAACTGTTGGAAATAGCTTGGGGGGAGCTTGGCTGGAAGGAGCGAGCATGCAGCGCGGAAGGACAGGAAACCGTGCAAATAGCTTTGGGGGAGATTTGCTGGGAGCGAGCGAGCATGCAGCGTGGACGGACAGGAAACTTTGGAAATAGCTTGGGACGAGATCCTTTGTGAGGGAGCGACACTGCACTGAAAATGCAGAGCTGCTGGCACGGGTTTTTCAGGACAAATTCCACCAATGCGATTTCCTCGAAAAACTGTGCGCCCAAGACTTGTCAAATGGTTTCCAAACGCTGGGCGATGGGACGTGCATGGGACAAAGTTACAAAGTTCGTGGCTGGAAGTTTTTTCATTCGCGCGGTGTTCTGTCCGCGCTTCGTCCTCTGACCCTTGCGGCGAAGCAAGCTAAACGAGAACCCAAGCATCGGAGACGCGTATGGTTTGGCGGAATTGGATAGAGTTACATTAGCAGAAATAGCGACTGAAAGAATGTAGACGCAGCTGACGCAGCATGCTGTGATGAATTGTGGCCCTCGATACCATCAGTGTTCACGAAATATCAATAAAGATCTTGCGTCGATTTCGTGCAGAGCACAGCTGCGCACACCAGTGCAAAATTACGTATATTTGTTTTAAACAAAGGTGTGCTATGTGCCGTCTTGCTTTTGGGCTCTCTGGCCCACCTTGTTTTTTTGGAAAACCCTTCGCTCAGACGCGGCAGCGGTGACAAAATCTTGCAAGCCGTTCAAAGCATGCAGCGAGACATCCGCTTGAAATCAACGCAGTCAAAGTCATCATGACCCTCCACAGTTCCAGAGGAGGCCACAGCTGGACTGAACTCCCTCACCTCCTCCGCATCTGCTGCAGTGAGGCAGCGTAGTTCCGCCACTCCTGATCGGAGAAAGAACCAGTTCCAGCTTTAAAGACATGGCCAAGCCACATGAAGTCCAAATTTGTCAAATCTGCAACATTCTGCACCAATAATCAGTTATATATATAGAGAGAGAGAGAGATAAATATATATATACATACGTGTATACTAACATGCTTATACGGAATATATCTATCTAATCTAATCTAATCTAATCTAATCCTATCTATCTATCTATCTACCTATCTATCTATGTATCTATCTATCTATCTATCTATCTAATTCTATCTATCTATCTATCTATCTCTATCTATCTATCTATCTATCTGTCTGTCTGTCTGTCTGTCTGTCTGTCTGTCTGTCTGTCTGTCTGTCTGTCTGTCTGTGAGTGTGTGCGTGTGAATTGTTTACCCGTGTTCCTGGCCTTGCATTGCAGGAGCAGCCGAAGATGGGGCCGAAGATGAAGAGGCACCATTTGCCTTAGGGGAATGAACCCCATGGAACAAAACTGTTTGGATGGTTTGGCATATCTTGGCAAGGCACCACTGCACAGGGTGCTTCAGGGTCTTCATCCATGATCTCTTCAATGACTGGACCCTGTCACCAGTTTCAGATGTTTCAGGTTGCAAAGTGAAGCTGCTGATCTTAATGATTATATAGTTTAGGCAATTTAGCCAGCTTCAACCGCCAAACATGGGCCCACTGCTGCTAGGAATGCAGCAGCAGACACACACTGGACGCACCGGCCCTACGGGCAGCCGGCATGCAAACAGCAAGAAAAGGACACATACCTAGCAGCAACACCCCCCGCCTTTGATGGCAGTTTGCACGGCTGGCCATTGGAGCAACTGCTGTCATTGCATGGTAAGAAACCCGGGAAAGAACCCATGCCCACAGCAACAAACGGCGGCTCTTACATCCACCTCGCTACCATGTCGCAAGCAAATTCTGAATGACAATGTGTCCCGCGGCAACAGAAGTACAGCCTCCACTGTGACCTACTCGGCCGGTTGTGGCCCATGACGGCCCATGGCAACCCAGATTCACCTGAAGCATGTCGCAAGGCAAACGGAGCGACTACGCTCACGGCCCACGGGTGTGAGCCACCAAGCCCTTGCGTCAGGCGCCCGTGAGAGGCTGGCAAGTTCAGACATTGAGCCCCCAAATTTTGGGCAATCGATGATTCTGCGATACGGCCGAGAACCTGTTTTACAGGCGTACCAACCACGATAACACAGGAAGCGACGCCTGAGCCATGCAATGGGTAGTGTATGAATGTTTTACAGGCGTATCAACCACGATAGCACAGGAAGTTTCACGCTTGTTTTGAGCCATGCTATAGGTAGTGTGAAAATATATGTATGAATATCATTGAACATGTACAGTGATATGTACAAACAACACCCCCCGCCGCCCGCAGTTGCGCGGAGGACGGAAGATGAGGAACTCCGGCTAAAGTGACCTGGGCCGGAGCAAACATCACTGTCAAATTCAAACTACCTAATGGACCTAATGTCTGTTGGTCTCGGCTCAAATGCCTGAGGCAAAAGGCCGCGATTGCTTTTCAATCCGGGGCACCGGACAAAGATCACTGCACAGAAGGCAAGGCTTCCGCCATGGCATGGGAGCTTGACCACTCCATTAAATTGCCAGGGGAATGGAAACTATCAGAAAAGGCCATCGGATACAAAATCTGTACGAAGACCAATAACCGTCGTTCTCGAGGGCGTGGGGAGATCCGAAGTGAGGACAGTGATCTTGTTGAGGTCCTCCACTTCCTTCGCACATTCCTCAAAAATCACGTCCTCCTTGACCTGCTCGTCATAGGGAGTGACAACCACCGCACCGTCTTCAATGACATCTCAATCATCGGGGTCCGGAACCACTTCAACATCGGCCACTGTGCTTTCGATGTCCCGTTCAAGTGTGCATGACACGTCAGGTGTCATTGAGAAGCCATCAAGGACAGCTTGGTTGAGGTTTTCTGGAGATAGAGCCTGGCTTTTTGCTCCTCTGTTTCAGCATCATCTCCTTGAGGGTCAACAAGCATGATGGCCGACACGTCCTTCTCTGTGAAAGAAGGATGTCGGGCGACCTGCCGAGCGGGTTCTTGCTGAGCTTCCAGAATTCCAGCGTGCACCCACATGAGAATCTCCTCGAGCCGTTTTTTCTTCTGGCGTGAGCGCGCACATCACTTCCTGGGTTCTGGAAAGGGCCAATCAAAATTGGATGATGGTAGGAAACAAACGGACGGCCTCCCGGCGGTCATAGGCGTTCTTGATGAAACTCTCCACATAGTACCGCAACTCGTCCTTCTGGGCCTTGATCTCCAGGTATTTGAAATGGAACGTGATCGCACCTCGCAAGAAAACCTGCACACCAATTTTCGATTGTATTGGTGGTCGTGCAGATGGTAGTTGCCATGCTTGCCTCCTGTGGCCAGCAGCGATGTGATGAAATCCCCTGGGTTCCCCGTTCAGCCAGCCAATTGAAGTGTTTGCCCATTTCTTTGTTGTAGGAAGGCGGCAACGAATAGTTTGAATGGTCACCGTTCCCAATGACTTGAACAGACATTATTTTGGGGTCTCTTGACAAACTCCACCAAACCATCAAGAGAGCGAAGCACATTCTGATACTGCTTGTCAACATAATCGGCCGCAACCTTCCCGTCGGCATCAGAACGAGTCATTGAAGAAGAATGGATCCAGGTACAACCTTGATATCCGAAATCTCCATGAACGTCATTGCCAGCCTATCCAATCATAACCAGAATTGGCAGTGTCTTTCTATCTTGAAGGCGGTTCTCCCTCTCAACTTTGTCAATGAGTTCCTGAACTTGGTGGATAATCGCCGCCAGCCCTTTTCCCACTGTCACTTCAGTCCTGAGTAGACAGCACGGATCTGTTTCAGGGCGTACACCTCGGATTGCAAGAGCTCACCAAAAGAAAGCCTCGAGCACGTGGAGGTGTTGTCATGGCTGGCCCGCAATGCGAAAGAGGAGTCACCAACGATAATCAGATCGGCTTCGCCTTCCGGCGGACATGCCACAGAACCAAACAGGGCAGCAGGGATGTCACTTACCACATTGACAAAATCCTGGTATGTCTTGTGTGTATGGTTCTCGTCATGTCCGACCAAGGATTCGATGACATCACCGACAGGCAGCAACATCATATTGATGATGCTCACTGCTCACCATCCAAAAGACTGTGTTTCTTGGTGAGTTAGACTATACCCTACATCCGGCAGCGAAATCCCTCGACACATCACTCAACTTATACAGAAATTAGGCTGCAGCAAATCTCTATCAGCAGTCGATTGAGGGTTCGGACCGGCAACTGGTTCCCCGGAGCTTCTGCTAGAGCCTTTGGCCGTGGCTCACCAGGGACGCAGGCTGGGGCTTCTTGGATTGGCTGGTTCTGCCCTGTGACGCTACATGAGACATGAGGGTCAATGCAAATCTCCACTTCTCAGCATGTGTAAAGGCTTTGTGAGAACGTCGGCAACCTGCATCTTGGATGGTCCGTAAGTCACAAATCATACCATCCCTCTTGTACTGTTCCGATAGCCGATAGTCATGGCAAACTAATACGCTGAATTTTGTCAGTATGTCTGAACGTCGGGGACTTCCCACTCTCCAAGATTCTAATGGTAGCTTGGTTGTCTTCGACGAAAGATGCTTGGGGGCGGGAATAATGACACCATGTAATCACCCATCTTCTCTTGCCCTACAAATTAAAAATCTGCAGGCGCTTCTGGAAAACTTCTGATGCCTCAACTTCATAATCAGTGTCGTACGGCCCAAACACCAGAAGAACCTCTTCTCTCTCCATTCCTTGTCCACCGGTCTCTGACCCCGCTTCTTCCAGTTATCCTGGATAAAGTCCATCATTCCTGATGAAATGAAAATGGTTGTTCTGGAGTACCCAATGCGTTTGATAGGAATTGGGATTGTTTTGGACTCCTCAGGTTGGAATAAGTGGGGTCTTTTGTTGGGGTGAACTCGGACTAAACGTCTTCTATCCCTTGTAAACTCCCAATACTCACCATCTCTTTCAGGTTGTGTCTTCATACTTTCATTTGGCAAACCTCCCGGAATGCTTGATTCCGCCCCGCATTCTGCAGGTAGGCCAAACCGGATGAAGGTAAACCTACGGCGTGGAGGGAGATATTTGCAGCAACTACTACATCAGCTTCCGTACTGGATACGGACACGGACGCTTGCTTCTTTGAAAAGGCGGTGGGCGGAAAGTAAGTGCTGGGACCCATGAACACTAAGAAACATCCGGTGGTACTTTTATTGTCGTACTCTCCGGCATCATCTGCATCGGCGAAGCGCCACAAACCGCATTCAGTAATTTTGTCCCCCGCAAAGGCTTTGAGCTTGTAGTTCAACGCTGAAAGGATGTAACAAATAAGACGACGCAGCCCTCAACAAATCATATCTCGCCATTCGGGCGGCAAAGAGGATTTTCATGAGGATCCATGCTGCAATTGGAGCAAGTACACCATTCGGTTCGGGTCTAGAGATCCTCTCCTTGAGCCTCTAGCTTTCTTCTTTGCGGAGTCCTTGTCTCTTTTAATTGTTGCAGGTGCATTCTTGGGATCGTTGCATGACTTGGTGAATAAGTATGTGGCACCTACCCACATTGCAGGTATCCTTTTCCCTTGTGCATACAAGGTGGTGCCCCCAAGATAGCTAAGTTTGCTCATAACTCCAAAAACTATGGTTTATAGGTGAGATATGTATATAGTTAATGGGGATTAAAAAAATTATAACTAGGGGGCGCCACCTTGTAGCCCAACGCATCATCGAGGAAAGTGTCCCATTCCGATGTGGCCACGTCTTCCGACGAGCTTTGCACAATGTCAGTGAACCTTTCATTACTCAAGTCACATTGGCTGATTATCTCTTCATCTGGAACATAATATCCCTTCCTTGGTTGACAGTGATGTCTAATGTAAACTCCCTTCGGCGCGTCAACTTCCCAAAAGTCTTGAGTCCTCTGTGCAGCTGCGGCCTCCTTGGCGGCGGGGTCTGGCAAGGACTTGTCGAACAAATGAGCAAACGGGTGATCATGTACTGAAAGTTTCACTTGAAGCTCCTGAACATGGTCACATCCAAGGTATCAACCGATGTCAGTGGGAACATCCATGTCAATCCTGGATCCGTGCCTGAATGTATGCCTGCACTCCATCATTTTGTTGAATGATATGGCCAGGCTGAGAACCATAAGCGTCCACGGATTTCCTGCGTCCATGGTGGCAGGGGTCAAACCTAAGTCTGAAAATAAGGATCTGCGTTCTCATCACGTACATTGTTACCCTGGAACACGGTTCTACCTCTGAATTTCCTGAACTTATGTGCTAGTGGCAATTCGCTTTCTTTCTCAACACAAGTCTCAAACGCCTTTCCAACATGCACCTTCCTACCCTTCTTCTTGGCACCATCGGAAACTGAGCTCCATTCTTGGACGGTGTCATACAACCAGGCAGTCTTTTTGACTAGCTTGTTCCATTCTACATCAAGGGACTCCTGAGCTTTAGGTTTGTACGAATCTCTTTCTTGTTGACTGGCCGGGCCACAAGAGTATTGA